ATCTTGGTCAATCGGTCTAACACGTGAAAAACGGTCAAAACCGTACGCACGTGATTTACGACCTTGAGGACTTGGTTTTCACCAAACAAGTCTTGTTTTCACTATTTTATACCATATACAATGTTTTTCATACTTTGTTTTTACTTTTGGGAACACTTCGTTTTTGGACCTCGGTTTTTCAAAACGGGTTTCAGCTGCTAGACTTTAGCTGGGTGATAATCGATTAACACCTTAGTGACAATCGACTATCAGCCATTGCAGCTTTGAACTTCCAAGTTCTAAAGCACGCAATAATCGATTATCAGCTTTGCAATAATCGATTATTAGCCTTTGCAGCCAAAACCCAGAATCTTCAGAGAGGACCAATAATCGATTATCACTTGTTGACAATCGATTATCTGGGTTACCGTTGTCCTCCAACGGATAGAATTTTAAATTTTTGCACAGGGAATCTTTGGATAATCGATTATCATGGTTTGACAATCGACTATCAGCTTGTGTCCCTGAAAAATTTGTCTTCATCCTGTTGGAAATTCTAGCAACGGGTTTATCCCTTTTTGGGCTATAAAATGGCACCCAAATCCTCTCTTTTAACACACAATTCTTCAACATTTCAATGCTCATTCATTGCATAAGCATTCCTATTTTTCTTAGCTATTTGAGAGTCAATTCTTGAAGAAATTGTCGTGTTCTTGAGCGTTTACTAGTTCACTCATATCTACTCTTGTGAGAGTTTTATTCCTGAGTGTTTAAGTGTTTTCATACACTTTAAGGGAGGTTGTTCCCTTATTGTAAACTCGAAGGAAATTACTTGTTCCTTCGTGAGAAGTCTTGGAGTGCCGTATCTCCGAGCAAAGGTGTTGAGGCTCGTGTGACTCGGGTTCTCAAGTTGTATCGGTTTGTTAAGCACCCTTAAGCTTAACGGAGTTAGTGTAGCTCGAGAGAGTCTCTCGGGGGGGCTGGATTAGCCACACATTGTGGTGAACCAGGATAAAATCCGGTGTGCTCCTTCCTTACGCTCTTTACTTTAACGCTCTCGTTTTAATTTCCTGCGAATTTGTTTTTAAACGCTATTCACCCCCCCTCTAGCGTTGGGCCTTTATTCTAACAATTGGTATCAGAGCCTTACTCTCTGTAAGACTTAATCGTTTGAGAGAAACGATCAATGGCTTCTACTCAAAGTTCATACGCAGGTTTAGGTGAAGGGCAATCCACCACAAGGCCTCCGTTGTTTGACGGAACGAACTACACCTATTGGAAGGAGCGGATGAGGATTTACATCCAATCCACAAATTTTCTCCTTTGGAGAATTATCAAGAATGGTGAAGACGTGCCAATGAAGAAGGTCGGGGAAACCAACATTCCTAAGACCGAGAACGAGTATGATGCACAAGACATCAAGAAAGTGGAAAACAATGCCAAGGCCATCAATATCATCTATTGTGCCGTAAACCCGGATGACTACCGGAAGATATCTTGTTGCACCACCGCGAAGGAAATGTGGGATAAACTAGAAATCACATACGAAGGTACGGATCAAGTCCGAGAAGCTAAAATTGATTTTCTAACCCATGAATATGAATTGTTTCGTATGAAGGAGAATGAGAAAATCGATGAGATGTTTGAACGATTCTCCAAAATCGTCAACGATCTCCATGCTCTCAAGAAGACGTACACGGACAAGGAGCTTGTGAGAAAAATCCTGCGAAGTCTCACACCGGAGTGGCGGTCCAAAGCCGATGCCATCCAAGAGTCCATTGGTGTCACCAACGTCACCATTGACGGGCTTAGAGGTAACCTCAAAACCTATGAGTCTACCATTTTATTCCCCTCTTTAGGTGAACAAAAGAAGAAGGG